AGAGAGAGAGAGAGAGAGAGAGAGAGAGAGAGAGAGAGAGAGAGAGAGAGAGAGAGAGAGAGAGAGAGAGAGAGAGACAAAGGTGAGGAGAGAGAGAGAGAGTGGCATAAGACGAAGTCCAAGTAATATCCAAAACCCGAATGCGACGTTAAAATAAAGCTTGAAGTACAATACTCGGACACAATGTCCGGTTGGCGCACGACCCGACCGGTTTCGGCTGGTCGCCAAGTCCAGCCTCATAAGGGGTCTATTTGTCAGTAGGGACTGAACCGTTGACTTCCTATTTATCTCGTGTGGAAATGGTCTATCGTCTATCTCTAAGCAGTTCTAGGACAGTAGTAAAAATCTAACTTATTAACTTCTGGTGGTACTACTGGAAATCACATCGGTTCAATAGGTCGCCGGTTCAATCTTCTCATCGCGCCACTTTCTCTTCACCATATATCAACATCGCGGGTTCAAATCCTAAGTACCGAAAAATACCACAATTACTCCTGCTACTTAAACAATACGTCTACGTCCCAGGTTCGAATCTCACATCTTAGCTTCAAATCTCCAAGTTATCCAACAACATCCCTTACAACGTCACGAGTTGAAATCCCTCTGCATATCTTCTCAGATTGTCACACCACCACAGTTCCACAAATAACTATTACCTCGTCCTATTCTAAACTACTGCAACTCATCCCATCCAGTTAACACTTCTTACCATTATTTCCATAACCCCCCATGTTTCCGAGAAACATTCCTCAGTGCCTGGTCAAAACAATCATCCGGATACCCGCGTCGCCATAACTCTGTTTTCAAGGAAAACAAGAAGGAAAACTCCATACCCAGGACAGTGGTAAATCTTCGGGCCCGATGCAGAAACGACCCAATAACAACAATTTTCTGTTGTTTGCTCGAATATGAACAAAAATCCTAAATGCAATGAAAAACCAATCTGCCACTAACAGGTCGACGCTGATTCTTATGACATGGCATACTAACAACCTCATTCGCCCCATCAAAAATCTTGAGGACACACCCAAGATAATCCCACGAGTTGCCATTGTCAGTCCTTTCAAGAACTAAGTTATCGTCGTAGCAAGATAGGAACTTGTGCATAATCTTGTATGCATGACATAACGATCTCGTATCATGCTTCCTAAATTTGATGAATACGGACACATCGTCCACCAGTCGGAAACTAGAGAACAACTTCCGATCTTTCCCTTATGATGACAGAAACGACCACTCATTGTATGCGCACAAAAGACATGCCAGCGCACGGCTCGTGGATTAGCTCATTGGAATTCCTATGTGCTGCGACAATAGTGACCCCCCCCCCCCCSCCMCCTTGTAGCTCCAAGGCGCGAAGGTGCCTTTCAAAGTCTAAGGCGGGAAATCACAGTAGTGAGGCGAGGCTCTTTGTGTGTTTCCTAAGAGGATTGAAAGCCTCATCGCACTGGCAGTTACAGAAATGTATCCAACCATTTTCAGGGTCGAATCGGTGTTCTCTTTTTTTTTTCCCCCTCACTCTTTCTGGAATCTGACAGTGGAATCCGTGATCAGAGGATTGTAACCGTGATCACAATGGCACTTAGAGGAATGTATCCATCCATTTTCATGGCCCAATCCGTGTTTCCATTTTTTTTTTTTTTTTCGTTTCTGGAAATCTGACAATCTGGTCACCAGGCTGAGATGCCCTCACTGAGGGCACACTCACACTACCACTTCCAAGAATATACACAACTGCAATCACGACGTGAGTCTCTCCTCTGTTTTTTTTCCTTGTTTTGTGAGTTTCATTGCAGCAACTTTTCTTGTTCTTTTTTTTTTTTTTTTTTCTCTGTGAGAGTACCATAAAGAAAATGGAGTGGGGCCCAGGAGTGGGGCCCACGAACACGACGATCCGCTAAGAAATCCCACGCAGAGTGGTTACACTGAAAAGAGAAATGCGTATGAAGGATTTCCCGGCCAAATTCTTTGACCGAGTTTTGAAGGGGTTTGCCCATGGCAGGGACGAACCATGGCCATGGACCTGCGAGTTGATTACAACAGCTTGACCTGCTACAACCGAACATAAGTGGTTCTCTAATTGTCTATCTTGCAAAGATCGCTTGATAAGTGCTCTCGAATAGGAAAGTCGAAGGACTTGCGTTCCTGTTTTTTGTTGCTTTAAACTTGGGATGTTTGGATCACCGGGATTAAGGGGATGGGGCAGGTCGCGAGCTCGAATCTGACCCGATCTACGCCCTGATAGGGTACCAGTAGGATTTGTGTAAGTGCGTGAGCCAGTGACTACTGGATATTTGAGTTTTTACATAGATAAGTGGGATGAGGCAGGCCGTGGGCTCGAACCCGGTCTGATCTCTGTCGTAGTAAATTCTTTTCGTTGATTTTCTTGTGGGCCCGGGATGTAGGTTTTGAGTGGTGTGGTTTTGGCCCGAAATTGGTCCTTGAGTCGAGGGATTGCGTGTGGATTTGGTGTTGGCTCAACCCGGGGAAGCCTGGTGATGCTGGGACATAAATAGAATGGTTGAGAAGCGTTAATCCTCTTTCTTCGCTAATGGTTCCACCATTAGCGTAAGTGTGGTTGGCTGTCGCGTTGGCCATCGGGTTTGTCGGAAGGCAGGTGGCGAGCCTAATGCAATTTTAATCATTCTCGGATTTACTTGTGTCTCGTTCATGTCTCGGTTTTGCGACTCGTGTTTGCATGCTCAAGTCAATCACGAATGCGTGTGGTTACGTATTCATGTATTCATTTATGTCTCGTAATACCTGCTTATAAGGCTGCTATAGCGCGTGTGAACCTGCCCGGGATCTTTGCAAGGAGTGAGTGAGCACGTTTGAATCGTCAGTTCCTCGATATTATCAAGAGGAGTATAGTTTTTCGCCTTGACTCAAGTTTGACTGCGTGGCGTGATGTTGGGGAATCTGAAGACCGGAGGAGAAGTGTCTGTTGGGAACGATATCGAAAACGGGGTTGCCACTCGTTGAAGTAACGGGTAGGCATGGGTGGCGTGGACCGCCCGCGTGACTAAGGTGACCGACGTGATCGGTACAACGATGAAGGAAGACGCGGTCGAGATGATGGCGACCGACACCGGACGCATGAGCACGAGGTGCGCGAGCGGCGCCCGGAGTTTTCTGAGCCTGTACGGAGGTCGCCTCCAGTTTGCTTTGGCTGCAAGGTACATGGGCACTATAGAAACGACTGTTGGAGATTTCTGGCTGATGCCGCCACTAGGAGTCAAGCGGAGCGGGATAGCTACGTCTGTCCTCTGGAGTTCGAGAGACGCGGTCGCTCGACATCGCCAAGGCGTAATCATGGAGCAACGGTATACCGCTCACCGTCGGCAGACTCGAAAACTACTTCGAAATTGGAGGAGTTGGGTGAGAGTGTTGCAAGTCTAAAAGAATTCATTGACCTCGAGAAGGCAAGGCGTGAGGAGAAGGAAAGAAAAAGATTAGTTAAGGAAGAGACCAAGAAACGGGAGATGGAAGCACGTCAACGGGAGGAGGAGCGCCTGGTGGAGGAGGTTCGTTGCATGAGGAAGTTGGAGAAGCAAAAAAGACGTGAGGATATTAAAAATGAGGTTCGTAAGGCTGTCGAAAAAGGGAAGGAGAAAATTGAGTTACCTTCCTCTTTTGGAACGACAAACGAGCCAGACGAGGTCGAGGCGATTACAACCGCTACGAAGAATTTGGCCATTGCAGAAAAGAGGAAGCAGGGTGAAGACAGCGCGGTGGGAGACAGCCCGCCAGTTGCCACACCCGCAAAGAAGACAAACTAGAGATTAGGGATCCGACATCTGCGGTTTTCCGAGCGACCACAACGAACACGCACGCGGGCGAATCGAAGGCTTGCGCGCGCTACACCCGGCCTGCCAAGGCCACAACCGCCATCAAGCCGCCTGTCTGGAACCTGGCGATGGAGCGGCTAATGTTTCTGGATCAAACACGGCGTACGCTGGCTACTGTTGACTGCGACCAATTGAAGGAATTCTGCCGTCTTGAAGGTGTTACGTATACCACGAAGGTGCGAGTCATTTTCGATCTTGCCGATGCAAGGGCACGAGCAAGGTTTGGATCGGAGCCAACTGGTACCGACCCACCAGAATTGGGAGATGATCATGATGGTAAGGTGAGTCATGAGAGCTCGGATAAAGGGTCTCAGTGACGAGGGTTTGCCAATGAACAATGGTTAGGTATCT